ACAGGGCCTCTGTCACGTGTCAATTGTGCACTTCCGGGGACTATAAAGCAAATAAAATGAAGGAAGCTGCAGGAGATGCGGTAGCTGCTGCCCGTGAGTCCTAGCCATCTAGTTTAGCCCCAATCCACACCGCGTGAGCGGCGTGGGGGACACTCTCGGCGGTGGCGGAGGTTGCCGAAAGTTCGCAATTCGGCGGCGGCGGAAATCGCCAGAAGCTCGCATTTCAAGACGACGGAACTGCGCAATTGACATTTGACTGAGGTCCTGTTAGGGTATATTTTCTGCCTTGATAATTTGGGACCGTTATTCGGGAGATAGCTTCAGTTCCAGTCTTTAACACACCACAGTTGTTGCTGTTTTGTTTTAGTCTGAAAATTGGAAGAAAAGTTTTCCGACAAATCTCTTGCAGATAGCACTTTGTCACTTTAGCTCTTCTAGTTGTAGTCATTTTTCTCGTCACAACACTCGCTAGCACTGTAATAAAGATCAAACCTGCAAAAAGTTTCACATGTCGAGATGGTCAGAATAGAGTATCAGAATCCGAAATCCACCCTCTACCCCCACCCTCCACTAATCCTCCCCCATCCAACAGACCTACTTTCCTCGACATTCTAAGAGGTGAAAGGGGAAGTAATGACGGGGAAGAAGAAAACATTTACCTGTCTGGCCAGTTTTTATCGACTTCGAAGCACAAGATGGACCTTTACCTTGCGTATTGTACACATCTGTCATTGTAGTATTTCTTCATTATCGAAGCAGGATTTTCGTTTTTTATATTACTATAGGTTCATGAGGAAGTATACTGTCTTGTCTATCCTAATGTCTAAAATCCATACTGTCTTCACTGTGGATTATTTAAGGTCTATCGAAAATTTTCTTATCATGCATAAGTATCTTGTTTTCCACAACATTTATCAGAGACGGATGCTGTTTCTTCAAGCCATCTGCCAGACCTTCAAAGATGGACAGTTAGAAGGGGAAATTCCTTTTCAATTTCTCCTTTTTTGCAAGAAGTTGGAAGAGTTTCTTCTCAGTCATGAAAAACAAAAACATATTCATACCTTAGTCTTACAGACGCGGTTGCCTTGAAGGACCTTATTTCAAGAATATCATTTTTTTTTTTTTTACCTGCCATCCGAATGCCTCAGAAATGTTTAAGTGCATGTATTTCGCTCATGCCAAGTTTGCTTTCCTCCACTCGAACCAAGAGCTCCTGTCTGCCGGATGTACCCTCCACTCAAGAGACTGAACGTTCTCACAGACGTTACGCATTTGAAGGGAGGAAATAATTTGCAGAAATCGTTTAAAGGTCGTTTAGATTTCTTCCTTTTTTAAGTTTGTCAAAGTTGGTTGCATGTGGCAACAGTGATCTGAAGTACTTAAAGTTGAGGATCTTCGTTATTCTGCTCTTTAATTTCCTTTCTTGACACCATACATAGCTTAAAGTACTGGCCTTGTTTTGCTTGCTCAGCCAAGTCATTAATAGCTGAGAATGAAAAGTGCTGCGTTTCTCAGAAAAAAGGAAGTAACCAGATGGTCCTACCATCATTCCTTTTTAGAATGCACGTATTATGAGCTATATCCCAACATAAACACAAGGTAAGATCGCCAGGCAGAAATATAAGCTATATCCCAACATAAACACAGGGTAAGATCGCCAGGCAGAGATATGAGTTATATCCCAACATGAACACAAGGTAAGATCGCCAGGCAGAGATATAAGCTATATCCAAACATAAACACTAGGTAAGATCGACAGGCAGAGATATAAGCTATATCCTAACATAAACACTAGGTAAGATCGATAGGCAGAGATATAAGCTATTCCCTAACATAAACACTAGGTAAGATTGACAGACAGAGATATAAGCTATATCCTAACATAAACACTAGGTAAGATCGACAGGCAGAGATATAAGCTATATCCTAACATAAACACTAGGTAAGATCGACAGGCAGAGATATAAGCTATATCCTAACATAAACACTAGGTAAGATTGACAGACAGAGATATAAGCTATATCCTAACATAAACACTAGGTAAGATCGACAGGCAGAGATATAAGCTATATCCTAACATAAACACTAGGTAAGATTGACAGACAGAGATATAAGCTATATCCTAACATAAACACTAGGTAAGATCGACAGGCAGAGATAAAAGCTATATCCTAACATAAACACTAGGTAAGATTGACAGACAGAGATATAAGCTATATCCTAACATAAACACTAGGTAAGATCGACAGACACAGATATAAGCTACATGCTAACATAAACACTAAGATCGACAGGCAGTGATATAAGCTATATCCCAACATAAACACTAGGTAAGATCGACAGGTAGAGATATAAGCTACATCCCAACATAAACACTAGGTAAGATCGACAGGCAGTGATATAAGCTATATCCCAACATAAACACTAGGTAAGATCGACAGGCAGTGATTTAAGCTATATGCTAACATAAACACTAGGTAAGATCGACATGCAGAGTGTGATGAGGTGCTTTGCATGGTCTTCACGATTACACGGTGGCAGGCATAAAGTCCATGCAACAAGTGACAGCACGAGATACTTGGGGCTAGTCGAGTAAGCGAGGGGAAGCCCGAGCTAGACTCGTGGTCAGTTGATCATCAGAAGTCAGAAAAGACGGTTGGATTAGTAGAAGCGAAAGTCCTATGTCGGGCGTGTGACCAGTAATTGAATATGTCGTGAGCGATAGAAGTCTGAATAATTGTGGAAACATGTGGAACATATGTGACTGAATAAACTGATGGTATGTACAAATCAGCCGAGTGGCGTTCGTGTTATCAACCCTAGACGTTAGAGCAGTGCAAGTTAATCATCCAGAGAGTAAGCCATATCAAGAGTGAATATGTCGTAAGACAAAGTGCATTTCAAGTGAGGGTAGAAAGTCACGCTTCATTCCAAGTCAAACCTTGATTCATTTCAAGTGGGAGCTTGTTCGAAGGAAATTCAAACCACGCGGACCTCAATCATAGAAAAACAATTTTTTTCCCAAGGTAAGACAAAATTATTGAGAACGGCATACGATACAACGATGTCGTCACCATAGAAGAACCTCAAGAGATATAAGCTAAATGCCAACATAAACAATAGATAGGATAGCCAATTCGAGATATAAGCTAAATCCCAACATAAACACTAGGTAAGATTGCGAGGCAGAGAAATAAGCTACATCCCAACGTAAACACCAGGAGGTCAGATGGCCAGTTAGAGATATAAGCTACATCCCAACGTAAACACTAGGAGGTAAAATGGCCAGTTAGAGATATAAGCTACATCCCAACGTAAACACTAGGAGGTCAGATGGCCAGCTAGAGATATAAGCTACATCCCAACGTAAACACTAGGAGGTAAAATGGCCAGTTAGAGATATAAGCTACATCCCAACGTAAACACTAGGAGGTCAGATGGCCAGTTAGAGATATAAGCTACATCCCAACGTAAACACTAGGAGGTAAAATGGCCAGTTAGAGATATAAGCTACATCCCAACGTAAACACTAGGAGGTCAGATGGCCAGTTAGAGATATAAGCTACATCCCAACGTAAACACTAGGAGGTCAGATGGCCAGCTAGAGATATAAGCTACATCCCAACGTAAACACTAGGAGGTAAAATGGCCAGTTAGAGATATAAGCTACATCCCAACGTAAACACTAGGAGGTCAGATGGCCAGTTAGAGATATAAGCTACATCCCAACGTAAACACTAGGAGGTCAGATGGCCAGTTAGAGATATAAGCTACATCCCAACGTAAACACTAGGAGGTAAAATGGCCAGTTAGAGATATAAGCTACATCCCAACGTAAACACTAGGAGGTCAGATGGCCAGTTAGAGATATAAGCTACATCCCAACGTAAACACTAGGAGGTCAGATGGCCAGCTAGAGATATAAGCTACATCCCAACGTAAACACTAGGAGGTAAAATGGCCAGTTAGAGATATAAGCTACATCCCAACGTAAACACTAGGAGGTCAGATGGCCAGTTAGAGATATAAGCTACATCCCAACGTAAACACTAGGAGGTAAAATGGCCAGTTAGAGATATAAGCTACATCCCAACGTAAACACTAGGAGGTCAGATGGCCAGTTAGAGATATAAGCTACATCCCAACGTAAACACCAGGAGGTCAGATGGCCAGTTAAAGATATAAGCTACATCCCAACGTAAACACCAGGAGGTAAGATGGCCAGTTAGAGATATAAGCTGCACCCCAACGTAAACATCAGGAGGTAAGATGGCCAGTTACAGATATAAGCTACATCCCAACGTAAACACTAGGAGGTCAGATGGCCAGTTAGAGATATAAGCTACATCCCAACGTAAACATCAGGAGGTAAGATGGCCAGTTAAAGATATAAGCTACATCCCAACGTAAACACCAGGAGGTCAGATGGCCAGTTAGAGATATAAGCTACATCCCAACGTAAACACTAGGAGGTCAGATGGCCAGTTAGTGATATAAGCTACATCCCAACGTAAACACCAGGAGGTCAGATGGCCAGTTAGAGATATAAGCTACATCCCAACGTAAACACTAGGAGGTCAGATGGCCAGTTAGAAATAAAAGCTACATCCCAACGTAAACACCAGGAGGTAAGATGGCCAGTTAAACACCAGGAGGTCAGAAGGCCAGTTAAAGATATAAGTTATATCCCAACGAAAACACCAGGAGGTCAGATGGCCAGTTAGAGATATCAGCTACATCCCAACGTAAACACTAGGAGGTCAGATGGCCAGTTAGAGATATAAGCTACATCCCAACGTAAACACCAGGAGGTCAGATGGCCAGTTAGAGATATAAACTACATCCCAACGAAAACACTAGGAGGTCAGATGGCCAGTTAGAGATACAAACTACATCCCAACGAAAACACTAGGTAAGATCGCGAGGCAGAGATATAAGCTACATCCCAACGTAAACACCAGGAGGTCAGATGGCCAGTTTAACACCAGGAGGTCAGATGGTCAGTTAAACACCAGGAGGTCAGATGGCCAGTTAAACACCAGGAGGTCAGATGGCCAGTTAAACACCAGGAGGTTAGATGGCCAGGTAAACACCAGGAGGTCAGATGGCCAGTTAAACACCAGGAGGTCAGATGGCCAGTTAAACACCAGGAAGTCAGATGGCCAGGTAAACACTAGGAGGTCAGATGGCCAGTTAAACACCAGGAGGTCAGATGGCCAGGTAAGCACTATGAGGTCAGATGGCCAGGTAAACATAAGGAGGTCAGGTGGCCAGGTAAACACCATGAGGTCAGATGGCCAGGTAAACACCAGTAGGTCAGATGGCCAGGTAAACACCAGGAGGTCAGATGGCCAATTAGACACTAGGAGGTCAGATGGCCAGTTAGACACCAGGAGGTCAGATGGCCAGTTAAACACCAGAAGGTCAGATGGCCAATTAAACACCAGGAGGTCAGATGGCCAGGTAAACACCAGGAGGTCAGATGGCCATTTAAACACCAGGAGGTCAGATGGCCAGGTAAACACCAGGAGGTCAGATGGCCAGTTAAACACCAGGAGGTCAGATGGCCAGTTAAACACCAGGAAGTCAGATGGCCAGATAAACACCAGGAGGTCAGATGGCCAGTTAAACACCAGGAGGTCAGATGGCCAGGTAAGCACTATGAGGTCAGATGGCCAGGTAAACATAAGGAGGTCAGGTGGCCAGGTAAACACCATGAGGTCAGATGGCCAGGTAAACACCAGTAGGTCAGATGGCCAGGTAAACACCAGGAGGTCAGATGGCCAATTAGACACTAGGAGGTCAGATGGCCAGTTAGACACCAGGAGGTCAGATGGCCAGTTAAACACCAGAAGGTCAGATGGCCAATTAAACACCAGGAGGTCAGATGGCCAGGTAAACACCAGGAGGTCAGATGGCCATTTAAAACACCAGGAGGTCAGATGGCCAGGTAAACACCAGGAGGTCAGATGGCCAGTTAAACACCAGGAGGTCAGATGGCCAGTTAAACACCAGGAAGTCAGATGGCCAGATAAACACCAGGAGGTCAGATGGCCAGTTAAAACACCAGGAGGTCAGATGGCCAGGTAAGCACTATGAGGTCAGATGGCCAGGTAAACATAAGGAGGTCAGGTGGCCAGGTAAACACCATGAGGTCAGATGGCCAGGTAAACACCAGTAGGTCAGATGGCCAGGTAAACACCAGGAGGTCAGATGGCCAATTAGACACTAGGAGGTCAGATGGCCAGTTAGACACCAGGAGGTCAGATGGCCAGTTAAACACCAGAAGGTCAGATGGCCAATTAAACACCAGGAGGTCAGATGGCCAGTTAAACACCAGGAGGTCAGATGGCCAGTTAAACACCAGGAGGTCAGATGGCCAGTTAAACACCAGGAGGTCAGATGGCCAGGTAAACACCAGGAGGTCAGATTGCCAGTTAAACACCAGGAGGTCAGATGGCCAGTTAAACACCAGGAGGTCAGATGGCCAGTTAAACACCAGGAGGTCAGATGGCCAGTTTAACACCAGGAGGTCAGATGGCCAGTTAAACACCAGGAGGTCAGATGGCCAGTTAAACACCAGGAGGTCAGATGGCCAGTTAAACACCAGGAGGTCAGATGGCCAGTTAAAACACCAGGAGGTCAGATGGCCAGTTAAAACACCAGGAGGTCAGATGGCCAGTTAAACACCAGGAGGTCAGATGGCCAGTTAAACACCAGGAGGTCAGATGGCCAGTTAAACACCAGGAGGTCAGATGGCCAGTTAAACACCAGGAGGTCAGATGGCCAGTTAAACACCAGGAGGTCAGATGGCCAGTTAGAGATATAAGCTACAAGGTAGTCAAGGTCATTTATGACAAATGTCCGGCTTCGCCAGGGATCGAACCCACGACCTTCCGATCCGCACGCGAGCGTCTAGCCGCTACCCCACGGTACTCCCATTTAAGTATAAAGCAGTATATAATTAGTGTACACAACCCATCAATATATAACATGCTGATAAAAAAGCGACTTTTTTTTCACGGGAGGGAATTAATCATTCTCTTTTTATTTGTTCTGACCTCTTCTGTGGATTGAAACCGCACAATTATTTCAGCAAGCGAGAGTTTCCTGGTATCAGAAACTATTCCCTAAAACCCACGATTGTCATGAAATTTTGAAACCCGCGTCATAACTTACATGTCTCATGAACCCATTCTAGTTCCTTGCCTTCTTTGTTTTGCCGTGTGAAAAAAGGGGCGGGTCGTCACGTTCAACCAATATCCAGGAAAGGGAAGCTTTTGGTTATACTTGTGACTAGCCATACTAGTTAACTTTCTTTACATGCTATATTAGGTGAGGAAAAGACGCTGGCGTTGGATAGGACACACACTGCGAAAAAAGGAGAACAGCATAACTAGAATGTCTATGAATTGGAACCCACAGGGGCATAGGAATAAAGGAAGGCCACACACACAAAAACATGGAGAAGAGAGCTGGAGAATGAAGTTAGAAAGATGGGGATGACATGGGGAGAGCTCCATGCAATGGCGAAGGATAAAACGACTTGGCGTGAGTTGGTTGAGGGTCTATGCTCCATTGGGGGATAGAAAGGAAGAAGAAGAAGAAGAAGAAGAAGAAGAAGAAGAAGAAGAAGAAGAAGAAGAAGAAGAAGAAGAAGAAGAAGAAGAAGAAGAAGAAGAAGAAGAAGAAGAAGAAGAAGGAGAAAGAAGAAGAAGAAGAAGAAGAAGAAGAAGAAGAAGAAGAAGAAGAAGAAGAAGAAGAAGAAGAAGAAGAAGAAGAAGAAGAAGAAGAAGAAGAAGAAGAAGAAGAAGAAGACATGCTATATTGCGCATCCTCCACCTGCAATTTCTCCACCTCCTCCCCTACCCCGACCCCAACCCACATTTGTCCACACGCTCGTGTCTCCTTCTACGTGTCGTGTCTTGCATGGATGCTTCGTTTTATTCATTAGCCTGTTATTCTATGAAATAAAAGCAATGTTCTAATTGAAAAACAACAATGCCTAGGATGATGACATTTCTGTTTCCAACTCGACTTGTGGTTAACGATCTGCTCTGATTCAGACTGCGTTGTTTGGGGTCCTGAATATGAATAAATTAAAAACAGCATGGCCGTTTTCAGTGGTGCTCTGCCGATACAATGAAATCTTTTTTACCCTGCTTGCTTTTGGCTCACAGTGATTCGATTGAAACTCCATCATTTCCCAATTCCGTTAGGCGGAATAATAATCCTTTCATTGTTTCTCTGGTAGTTCGGCCAATGATAGCCTAATTAGACATGACGTCACTGGGTGGCAGTTTTTTTTCCCCTGCCGAATCCAATCAAAAGTGTGCATATGGGCATATGTCCCATTTCTTCTTCTTCTTCTTCTTCTTCTTCTTCTTCCTTTTTCGTTTTCTTCTTTTTTCTTCTTCTTCTTCTTCTTCTTCTTCTTCTTCTTCTTCTTCTTCTTCTTCTTCTTCTTCTTCTTCTTCTTCTTCTTCTTCTTCTTCTGCTTCTTTTTCTGCTTCTTCTTCTGCTTCGGCTTCTTCTTCTACTTATTCTTCTTCTTAACCAGAACTTGAGTTACCACTTTTCACAGATGTGTCTCATTTGTATGCAGGCTGGTGGTTCCTTGCCTCTCTTATAGATGCACTCCGACAATGAAGGAAGCTCCCAATTAGTCGACTTTTACGATATGCTTTTCGGTAGGTAGGAGTCACCGTGGCGTGTGCAGCCAGCCGCCCGCTTGTGGATCGGGACGTCTTGGGTTCGCGTCCTGACGGAGCTGGACTTTTTTTCAAAAATGACCTTGACTCCCAGCTCCACCCAGCCATGAGTGGGTACCAGGTACAATCCTGGGAAGTAAAGGCGGTCGGCGTGATGCTGACCACATTGCCCACCAAGTGACGATGGGTCTATTAAAAAAATATAAATCCAGCCCTATATTCCTTTATTCGCCTAAAGGGACCTTTACCAACTTTACTTTGGGTAAGTAGTGGGTCCAATATTGTTTTCCCCCATAATAGGGCCTGGGAACCCACGCGTTTAAAGACAATGAAATACTGAGAAATCTACGTGTTAATAGGTACATAAAGGCGCTCTGTAACACGGTTTTTATTCCATCTTTGCGTTATCAAAGATAGACGAGGCTAGTAAAGGAAAACAGATAAAAAAATCAAAATATATCCTAAATGAAATTCAGGTACTATAATTTTTGTTTACCCCATTTCAAGTGCGCCGCGATTTTGTAGGGAATTCCCAGGAAAGTCCAATAGTGTTTTTTTTTTTGGGGGGGGGGGGGCCGGGGATGGGGGGGGGGGGGAGTGTCACTCACCCAAAAAAAACATAAAAGAAATTTAGTAACTAAGGAAATGAGGTATATGAAAAAGACTGTAGGAGTGATCAGAAAATATAACATCAGGAATGAGAGCATACGAGATAATGTAGACACAAAACCAATTCTAAATTACACAACAAATGCAGCAAATAAAAGGCTTTGTTCACTTGGAGAGAATGCCTTCTGAGGCTCTACAATGCAAGACATACAAGGTGGACCAAGAACAATATGGAAAGATAACATCAGAGAAACCCGACAGCACCATGATGTGTCTGTTGTCGAAACTGCCAGAAGAGCCCAAAGCAGGACCTTATCTCATCTTCGAAACCCGAAGTGGTAAACGAGGGCGTAAAGAAGAAGAAGAATGGAGAGATGGTGTGGCGCGGCGATTGATGTCACAGGCGTGAGGGAAAGTTAAGTCCAACATGATGTGTATAAGGAGATACTCCGTACGTCACTCGGGCGCCAGTCCTTCACTGTTCTAGTTTTACGGAACCTCACGCAAGACCCCTGCAGCACGTCCTCGTCGTGCGCCACGGATAATGTCTCAAATGAGCATTAACCGAGCTGTCAGGGGATCTCGGAGTTTGGCGGCCCCCAGAGGTGATGTGTCCTTGTGGCTCTCATCAGCCCGCCCCCAAAAGCACGGGTAAAAAAGGTTATCAAAACTCATTAGGAACATAAGTAAAGTGCTTGCCAAAAGTACAACTAAAATTACAACCCTTGGTTAAAAGATTGCGGAGTGAAGCGAACATTGTTCTGCTGAGACTCAACCCTTGACCTAGAGATTTACATGCAGCACAGACGAATAACATCTCCTGTGGGTGGCGTCTCGCAGCAAGGTTCTACCCATGTACATCCTCTGCTAACCCTCAGTGTCGACGTTACCGCGCTGAGGTACACCGCAATAGCAACAGCCCATTGGCTGGCTAAGCCTAAATGTCCGACAACACTAGATCCTACGGCACACGAGTAAGCTCAAAATCCGACCATCACAAATCGTATTGAATGGGAAAAAGTCCACATGTCCACACCCAAAGACCCCACTCGCCCGAGTGTTGGGACCAAACAATAACGATATGCCTGACGCAGGATGTTAAATTCTGTCGTGCTAACGGATGGTCAAAGATATCTAACGTGCGAAGAAAAAGAATGTACCCATTCGTGTGGTCACAAAAGTCCAAAACCCGCGGGCTGCTCCCCGCTGATTTCCGGAGGGCGCAGCCCTTGTCGAGCGATTGTGAGGTTAAGCAGGCATGTGCAGGACGTGACGATTCCTTGGGTGAGCCCAGAACCAGAGCGCCATGTGTCGGCGCCACCTTGGAAGCCACCTTGGATGGCGGGGAATGCCCATGATCTGCCCCTGCCTTCCCTTGAGGGCTAACCATTCCACAAGGGGCTGCCTCAAAGGGGTACTCCGGGGGCAACACCTGCGGAGAAGGCGACAAAGAGGACACCACACAAATCAGGCA